AGTAAGCAATGAATATTTGGGGGCATATGTACATTAAAATTATTTATTATCTGTAATACAAATTTAATGAGTCATCCTAATTTTTTTCTGGCATCCATCCAAACTTATTGTAATGTGACTTATACTGTAACAACAGGCTGTATTAAGCAAATCTTGGATTGTGTCAATGTAAACATTTGACAAATGGATAAGCTAGAGAGCAGTTTAATATTGCTCTCTGATGTAAATTCAAGAAAGGAAAACAAGATTAAGTCTTGATTTTGCCAAAAATGTGCTATAGTCCATAAAGTTCTCATAATCAAGAAGAACATGTACTGCCCTTCTTTGCTTCCCTGCCCCAGTTGTCATCAGAAATGCCTTGAAGTCTCTGTAATTTCATAACTTGAATTGAATTTGCAATTTTAACGCTTTGCTGTGTTTCTTAATTTTTTTTTTTTGGTGGCACTGGGGTTTGAACTCAGGACCTTGCACTTGCTAGGCCTTCACTCTACCACTTAAGCTACTCTATCAGTTCTGTATTTCTTAATTTTTATAGCTGCATTTTATTTTAGTCCCCAAATATATGTATTTTTTTAATGCTTGATTTTCTTATTACAGATTTTAGAAATTGTGGCAAATAATTATGCTCTTCAAAAAATGTATTGCTTTTGTGAAATATGCCATGCTACACTAAATAATGGGAAACACTATATTATGCAATTGCCTTCATTTAATATAGATAAATACCTTTACCTTGGAGTATCTACCTATCATACCCTTCCTTTCCTTTTTTGGGCACTACTAGGGTTTGAACTCAGGGCTTTGCTTGCTAAGTAGGCACTCTATAATACTTTTGGAATCAATGAAAATAGTTAGATACTTATATTTTTACACTTGTGCTGAACAGTAAATCCTATTGTAAGGTATATAGGTAATCCTGAAAAAAAATGCTTTTAAATTTTCATTTGGAACATTTCCTTTAAATTAAGCTTCTATAACAAAATAAACATTACATAACTAATGTTTCAGTAAGAGCTAATTTTGTCTTGCAAACAGGATTTACAACTTTTCATGTACCAAAATTCCCTTCAGTATACTCAGTATTTCCTTCTAAAATAGTTTACGTATACATAATTGCTTAAGTTTAATGTTAAAATTACTGTTTTAATCTCAAAATTAGTTCAGGGATCTTTCTCACAGATTTCCCAATTTCTTTCTAAAGGTTCTCAAACAAACACTTTTCTGCCTCTAGAAAGTCCTGTGTTTGAAGATGCTGAGGAATGCGGAGACACGCATTATAAGAATTTGTCTCAATCACGTAAAAATGACATTAATATGTTAATATTCAACTGTATAGAGAAAATGTAACAACGGAATAAAAGATAATTTAAACATCTCAGCTAATAAAAATCCACTTTAAAGTTATTACCTTTTTGATCTTACTAAGATATCATATTCATCTTCAATACTGCTTGGATCAATCCTCAAAGGATTTCAGAAAATCAGACGAATGGACATGACAGCAGAATGATACCAGAGAGGGAGAATAGCATGAAGACTAGCAAATTTTATATCACAATTGGATTTAAAGGGTGGTAACCTTGGAGGCATCTCTCTTAATACCAATGGACAAAATCCAGTATTGAAGAGTGCCATGAAAAGCCCAGTATTTTGTCCATAACACTCTGCCACTATTTTTAGACTGTATGAGAAATGGCAAATGTACCAATCTCCTAATAATTTCCTCTAGTACTAACATGACACACATACAGATACATGTCAAGAACTTCAGCAAAATTTTCTAGCACCACTTGGAATTTTCTAGTACTTCCTTGGAATGTAAAATCATAATATATCATTGAATATAAGGCAATAGAAGTAAAGAACAATTCTTGGCCGAAAGATTATGTCTTTCTTCTGAGTTCTCCCTATAAAAATTAGAGTTAGTTAAAATGTGAGGAAAAGGAGGAAGAAATGAGAGAAACTTAAGTTGATTATACACTTAAAAGATTGAATGCAACATGTAACATACTTTGCTGTGTCAGTTGCATTTTGTATATGATCTTAAACGCTTACTGTAACATTAAAGCAGATATTATCTCCAATTTACTGAGACCTTTGCAATATATAGAGTCTCTTTTCAATGTGACTAAATAATTTTCCAAAATTTACATGGCTAGTATGTGCCAGAACTGGGATGTGAACTCAGGTCTATCTCACCCTACAAACCATGTTGTTTTAGCAGCAGTATCACACTGAAAGTTTTCATTTTATACATGTAGTGAATGGTGGAATTAGTACTCAAACCCATGTCCATCTTGATGCCCAATCCTATGCTTTCTACTCACTATACTATGTTGTCTCTGAGCAAGGAAAAGATACTCTCAATCATTGAAGGATTGCTTGATTTCTAAGATAGTTCCTCATTAGCTTTCACTAACAAGGAAACTTATATGATTGATTCCTTACTTTAGGAATTTACAAAAAAAAGCCAAATGGAGAAGATTGCTGTATTTATACTACCAATAGGAAAGCATGTTATGATAAAATGGAAAAAATGAGAAGTAGAATAATAATGATGATATTAATAAGAATAATCATTTACATAGCATTTGTTCTTTGGCAGTACTGCTATAAGTTCTTAAGATATACTAACAACACAACAATCTATGAGATAGGTAATGTTATCATTCTCATAGAATCAGAGATAAGGAAATAGAAAGAGGTTCCATAACTTCTCTTAGGTTACACAGCTGGAAGAGAAAGAACCAGGAACTGAGCCAGGTGACCTGATGAACATTCCATTCTCTTAACCAGTAGGCTATCAGGACTTTCCCTGCAGCATGAACTAAAAAGGATGCCTACTATCTTCACAAGTTACCAGTCTGGTAGTCTTCTATTATATTACTTTCAATAGACATTTTGAACAGTGAATCTACCAATCTGCTTCAGCAATGACGGAAATTTGTTCTGCTAACTTATTATTTAAATGTGGGATTTCAGTAAAGCACAACATAGCGAGCTCAAATCAATTCTTAACCACAGCCTTTCTTTATCTACAAAGTCTTTGAGAAATTAGAAGTGAAATGCACAGTTATCCTATCTATCCTTTTTGTTTGCTTTTGTAGACAAGAAAAATAGCTTGCTTTTTTCAAATATGTTCTATACTTATTTCATCTAACATGTTGGTGGTACTGGGGTTTGAACTCAGGGTCTTACACTTGCTAGGTGGGCACTCTACACTTGAGCCATGCTCCCAGCCCTCATCTAACACTTTGAATGTGCTAGCGTGCATGTGTTAATCTGGATCCACTTTTTAGAACTTTTCCTGACCACTTCCCAATTCTTTCAGATAGTGTTGAGGGACTCAGCATGATGGAAAAAAAGGTATCTCTTTAAATCTATTTTAAACTCAAATATTGTACTCAATTAAAAACAAAACAAAAGACAGTTTCTTAAGTGCAAAGTTTGCACTGAAAACCTTTCTGCTTCTTTAAAAAGATCACATTTTTCTATAAACTTTTTTTTCCCTTCAACAGGAATCATACAGAGCGACTGAACAGCAATGAGCCAGAATAATGTACTGTGAATCAGGGCCATTCCTAATGATAGAAGGTATTCTATTTTCAAACGCAAGGACAGTTTACCTTATCAGCTGTTTAGTTATAACAAATGTATGTTCTTACTTTTTGATTTCAGAAATAATTTTTTATTGAACAAGCAGAGTAACCACTAATTTGCCTAGAAAATATTAAAACAGAACACTTCACCAGTGTTTATGGGAACACTTATGCATGAAATATAAAAATATTAAATTTTCTTGTTTTCAAAACGGATAATCAGCCTTCCAAAAATACACATTTTTACAACTGACCAGAAAAATTTTTTAAACCTAATCAACCATCCTCTGTTTACTTTGCCAAGTTGGGAATGATAAGAAAACATCTGTAGGGTAAAGACAGTATTTTTAGTTTGTGAAATTAGCCTTTTTGTTCCTGCTCAAAACCAAAAAAAAAAAAATCTTTATTTTCATAAGGAATCTTCCATAAAAATAAAACTATTTGTTTACATAAGTAATAATTCACTTTCATTAAAATAGAACAAATTAGCTGATGTTGATACTTACAGTTTTAGGGGAACGGTTAAGGAAAATTTTTGCATTATTTAAAGGCATTTTGTTATTATTTTCCCCCTAAAGGATAAAGATTTTCAACAGAGAAATTATGGAATACTAAATATAGATCATCCACTAAAAATAAAGTCAGGGTAGGCAACAGGATTCTTCTTTATCTTGAGAGTGCTTAATAAATATATAATCTTTTGGAGAAGTAATACTGAGTTTTGGTCTTGGGCCACTAGACCCACATCCTCAGCCTTTTTGCTTTATATTTTTCAAATAAGATCTCACTTTTTGCTTGCTATTGGCCTCATGATCCTCCTACCTCTGCCTCCAGCATAGCTAAGATTATAGGCATGCACCATATTTGTTGAGAACAGGTCTCACTAACTTTTTGCTTACGCTAGCCTCTAACTGGCCTAAATGTCTAATCTTTGGAAGACAGCAACAGAATCAGCACAAGGTATGGAGCCGTGGAATTATGGTGAAAAGCAACATTTTTGTACGTAAAAACACACATTTTGGTCAAAAATGTTTTGGGGTTGAATTTTTTTCCTTTTATAGATTTAGTTACATTCTAGGTAAATACATTAATTTTAATCTTTGTAACTACAGCATTAATTTTTTAATTGCAATCCATATTTCTATGTTTAAGCATTTAACTCCTAGTTTTCAAATTTTTTCAGTTGTGAAGATACTATATATTTTAATGTATCATCTTGTATTGGGTGACATAGAATTCCTTTAGAGTTTGATTTGTCCTCACAGGAAGACAGAATTTGCTTTCTTCAAATTGTCACATTATTACAAGCAGCTGGGGCTAGGAAGGAGCAAAGTTCCATGTGAATTACCATCTTCATAAAAAACATATATTCTCAAGCACCTTCCCAAGTGGTCTTTACTTACTTTCCATCAGCAGAAGCTAAACAGGAGTGTCCTAAGCAAAGGGGTAAATATGTTAGTGCTCTCCACCCTTTTACCCTTTTGGTGGCATTACTGGGATGGAAATAAGCCAGTGAACTAGTATGACCTAGCTTTGTGTCTGCAATGTTGGGCCAACATAAAAAAGGAAAAGAATCCAGAGAGGGATAATGAGGTCCAAGCTGAAGAGATTCTGAAGGTCTAAACAATTATTTTTGCAAATGGCTTAAAAATACCTCATTATTTTATAGCTAATTTGTATTTAGTGGTTCCATTTGTTTAGACTTATACCTGGTAAATCAGAGAAGAGAAGAATGCATTCATTAAAGCCATTAGCCAAGAGCCGGTCCCGCAGCTGCTGGAGAATTGCTACTCCAATGCAGAACGGGAAAGAGGAATTTCCAAGTAGTAAGGTATCCCAGAGGTGGAAAATTTTGTGCAGTGGAAATACATCTGTAGAAAGATTTTTAAAAATTAATTAAAATTAAAACAAAAATCCAAAATAACAAAATTTGAAAGAACAGTTGCTTTACTAGATATATGATTATTACTATGGTCTAAACTGATATTTAAGTGTTAATACTATTGAACTATTTTTATAAAATATTTATTTGGTTTTGTAAATTTACTGCATCCTAAGGCCTCTTAAAAACTGATAACAAATCAGATTAATCAAACAGATGAAATTTTCTAACTTCCAATACAAATCTTGGTATGTTTGCCCCATTCATAATACTTTCCTCATTTTAAAAATTATGTTACTTATACAACTTTATTTATGTAGATGAACTTCAGCATTGTTTTAAGTATGATAGTATTACATTTCCATTATGCATTTAAACAATTACTTTATTAAATTCCACCAAAAATTTTATTAATTTTTTCTAGTTTTTATAACTTTTTCTTATTTAATATCTTTCCAGGTTAATGTGTAGAAACTACTTCAAATATTATTCCAGTTATCATGTGTACCACATTTAAATATGCATGTATACTGTATTCATATCTGTTACTTATTAAAGTATTACATATCCTTAATTTTTATTTAATATCTAGGGGAACCCTAATTAAGGAAATAAAACCATCAGTTATTAGAGAATGTCTAGAAATTAGACCTGATTTGGTTACCCTCAAAAATTTTGTGTAAAGATTATAGTTGATGTGAAATTCTCCTTTCAAAAGGGAGCAAAAGTTGTCTAAACAACCATGACATGAAAAGCAGATTTTCACCCATTACTATTCTTTATTATTTAGGTGTCAGAACACTTAAAATTCTTTCTACACAACTCTATTATGTTAAAATTGCATAAGGATGAATATTATATTTTCTTAATGTTATTGTAAATATAAGATACCAAGGAAAATGGAAATGTATTTTGTTAATACAATACTAAAAGGGAAAATGATACTTACGAGTAAACATTGTGAGAAACCAAGGGATGGCATAGAGCTATAAGCACAAAAAAACAGGAGTACAGGGCATGAATAAAAAAGAAATAAAAGAACTAATTAGAGTGATTATCAACAAACTGAATGGTAATTTTTTAATCTACTCCATTGATTGAAATAAAAAAGAACATAGGTAATTATAATCACTATATTAACTACTTTATAATGATATATATTTATATCATAAGTGTAGATGACCTTTGTGCCAAGAAGTATTCATAGAATATCTTCATTTTTTAAAAAAATACACAAAAGTGTACATAAAAGACAATGGCTAATTCAAATACAATTGACTGCTTGTATGCTAATTTTAAGAGTATACTTTTCCAGTTGTACAAAAATATTGCTGAGATTTTTAAATGTCCCTGCGATAGTTAATAGGCCAAACAGAATACTCATCTCTGATTAAACTTAGTTTTGAGTGTGTCTCTGAGAATGTTTCCAGATGAGATGAGCAGTTGAAAACATTATCTAAGTAAAGCAGACAGTCCTCCCAGTTTGGGTAGGGTAGGTAGGCATCATCAGCCTGTTATTGTGGACACAAATAGAACAAAGGTGGAAGAAGAATTTCATATCTCTTCTTTTCTGTCTCACTGCATGAGCCAGAACATTTCATTTCATCTTTCTCTGCCTTGGGACTGTGACTACCAATCACAAGTTTCAAAAATCAACAATAATTTATATGAAAATCTGAAAAAGCCCTAATTTTATATTACTTTGTGAGTCAATACAGCTACTATGAAATGAAGACTTGTATTACATACACAGCTCAAATAAGTATTTATTCATCGTCTACCAATTATAAATTTATGAGTAAAGTTGTATATTATCTTGGCATCATATACAATGGAATACTTATGCTATCAAAATGCCTGTCAAGATTTACATAAGTGTAATTATATAGTTCATTAAAATATAAGTACTGCCATACAATAAAGCCCACTGATCTCCACATCATCATTTATATAGGTTGACATGCAGACAGTTCTTTCTAGAGGCATTTCAAATAGGGGAAAGGAATAGCATAAAGGTATATGACTTCACAATATGGGTTATAGAAAACAATAAAATATAACAAAATATAAGTCCTTTACCCTAATTTAAATGGAAAATAAAGTCACAAAGGATTAGTTTCATCACTATTATTCAAGCTTTAAGAACATATTACCTGCTACCCTTTTGGTGAAAACCAATTGTTTCTCATTAAGAAGCTTTCCTGAGTTATTTCAACAACTAGCTAGCAGTACTTTCGGCCCATACTATTCTCTGTAATCATTTTTCTTGGCTATGTTGGGAATGAAACCTAGGGCCTTGCACATGCTACCACTGAGCTATATTCCTAGCACATTTCCTAAAATTATTACCTTCATCAAGATCTATTAAATGAATTCTGCTTCTAACCAAGACACACTGATAGGACCCAAATTTATGCTTCCACCTGAAGTGCATAAAAGTCAGAGTACATGAAAAAATTTTGTAGATTTTGGATAATTAAACAGCACAGGAGTAATTCCTGAGAGGAGAAGCAAATAAAATGAACCCTACAATTTACCCAGCTTGCCAGCTTAGTGCATGCAAACAGGTTGTAGGCCACTGACAAGACGGAAGAACCTAGATAGAGGTTGGTAGTTTTTCTTGAGCTGAATAGGCAGAGGTGAGAGTCTGCGGAAGTTAAGGTGGCTAGAATCTCCATGGCATACTTACTGAGGTCATGTACGTAAGTAAACTTGACAAAGTGGGGATGGAACAATTTGAAATGATCAGAGGCAAAATTTCTAGGCTCATACAGTGCCAAGGATAATTCATTTTTACACCAGCCAGAAGTAGAGAAAGCAAGGCATAGTGAGGACAAAAAACTATAATAAATGGGCATTGGACAGAATACTCAAGGTAATGTGGCAAAATTATGCAGCTGTGGTTTCTCTTAATAAACCTTAGAAGGAAGCTCTGAAAGGACCAAACTGACTCAATATAACTTAACTGCATCCAAGATACCACACTTATTGTCACCTCCAAATTCCCTCTTCTTTCTATTAATACCCATTATTCCAGTCACTTACGTTTAGATATTATAATTTTAAAGTATTTCATGTCAAATCCCACACACGTATTCCTACGAGATGTCTCTGGTCATTTGTTTCTGTCTAGTTCATACTCAACTTTGTTTGGCTTCTCAGTCCTTCTTGCATGAACTACTACTACAAATGTTTCATAATCGTTCTCTTTGCTTTCAATTTCTAAGTTCTGCAAAATTTCCTTCAGTCAAATTAATCTTTCTAGAAATGCAACTGTGATCCTATGGTTCTCTTGCTCCGCTATGACAATGCTTTTCCATGGCAAACCAAATTAAGTGTGTAAACTTCTTACTTACTCTAATATTTGGGCCAGTGTAATTTAGTGAAAGGAGCCAAGGATTTGGATTCAGAAAATAAGCACTTGAGTTCCAACTTGACAATTATTGTTACTGTGCTTGAGTGAGTCAGTTAATTGCTGTGACTTCCAAATTATTGTTTTTGAACTAAGGAAATAATCATCTGTATCTCTGTCACAGATGCTGTGTGAATGAAATAATGTAAGTGAAAGTACTTTGTAAACAGTAACACATTTTTTAGTATCACTGATTTTAGTGTTATTATTATCAACATAATAAATAGTGCATCAAGCTAAGTTTCTTTGTGTCTCATCTTTACTACATCTTGCATGACAAATTATTTTCTATGATCTGCAATTGCTTTCTGACCAATATGCTTTGCCTTTTCTTCTTTAAATGTTCTTTATCATTTCCATTAATCAAAATGAGGTTTTTTTCAAAAGCCTCCCTTAAACACCATTTATTCCATGAAGATTTTTTATACATTTCTTGCAATACCTGTCACACTATGCTTTATATATCATTTACTTATATATAGTAATGCATGTTGTATTTTATTATAACTACCTGTCACACCATGGTTTGTATAATTATGAGCATATCAATTTGATCATTTGTTCATTCAGCAGCATGAGAAGCTTTATGGTATAAGCCATGGGCCTCACTATCAGCAGATGAGTCAGATGTATGAGTAACACTTGAAATGTCTTATAGTTTAAGTGCTACTACCATGAAGATTTTTTATACATTTCTTGCAATACCTGTCACACTATGCTTTATATATCATTTACTTATATAGTAATGCATTTGTATTTTATATACTACCGTCACAGTCCCATGGTTTTGTATATATTATGAGCATATCAATTTGATCATTTTTCATTCAGCGCATAGAAGCTTTTGGTATAAGCCATGGCCTCACTACAGCAGATGAGTCAGATGTATGAGTAGACACTTGAAATGTCTTATAGTTAAGTGCTACTCAATGGAGGTCTGTCAGGCATAGGGCAATGTCACAGATACAGGCTTATATCCTCTCCATAATGCTCTCTGCAGGAAGATCTTGTAGGTAAAGGTTATTTCACTCTTTATTCATTAACACAACAAATATATAGTGAACACTTAATCTATGCCAAGACTATGTTAGGTGTTAAGACAGTGAACAAGTCATCGTTTCAAGCTCTGTGGAGCTCAGAATTCAATAAGAGCAACAAAGGTTTACTAAATATTCTGTTAATCTGCTACTGCAGGTTTTTGCCTCTACTTCATTCTTGAAACTATTCTTGTCTTTGTCACTGATGATTTCTATGTTGCTAAACCTCACTGCTAATCTTTCTTTGCCAATCAGCAGGATTTGACATGGCTGACTACTCCTACTTCCTGAAAAACCACTTTTCCCCCTCCACTTGGTTTCTAAGACACCACAGTAATCTAGTTTTCTTATTGTTCTGACTGATCTTTATGTATCTCTTTTGTGGTTCTTCTTCATTCTTCTGACTTTTAAATATCAGAGTGTTCCAGATTCAGTTCCTAAACCTCTCATCTTTATAATTTTTCTTCAGATAGTGATTGTATGAAGACTCATATTTACAGCTCCATTTCCAGATTTCTCTTATGAATTACAAACTTGTATGTTCAAATGCTTATTTGATAACTTCACTTACATATCCAACAAATATATACACATAATATGTCTAAAATGGGGCTCATGAGCTTGCCTTTAAACTTTGTACCACCAAGTACAGATTTATAAATCTCAGTTAAGAACAACTAAATCCATCTACTTGTTCACATAAAAGAAAATTCCTGAATCGTTCTTGACTCCTTCCTCTCTTTCCACATACTGTGTATTTATCACAAGCAGTCCCAATATGAGCCTTCTCACTATCCCTACTGCTAATGTCCCAATTCAAGCCACCATCTCTTGTCCAGATTACTGCCAGAGCCCATGATTAGTGTCCTAGATTCTATCCTTGTCTGTCTTTGGATTTCTTTCAGCATACTCACCAGAATTCTCTTGTTAAAACACTTAGATTGGATGTCATTGCTTTCCTCTAAAGCATCTAGTGGCCCTATGCCATTAGTAATAAATGTAAAGCCTAATATGTGACCTATAATACTTTATGCAACCTAACCCTCCATCACCTATTTGACCCTATTCACTGTGTTCTAGTTGGAATGGTTTCCTAGCCACTCTTTCACAATCCCTGGTCTGCTTCCACCTCAGGGCTGTAGCACTTGCTGTTGCTGTTGTTGCTCTTTCCCTTGTTTCCTTATGGCAGTTATTCAATAGTCACCTTTCTTGTGAGGCTTTCTTGCTAACCTTATTTAAAACTCCAATTCTTCTTTCATCTAAGCACTTGACATCCATACCCTGGATGTTTTCACTAGAATTTCCTAATTCCTAACGTATCACACAGCATACTTATCTTCTTTATGGTCTGTTCCACTAGAATATGAGGACAGAGATTTTGTCTTTTTTTTTCACTATCCACCTAAGATATAGAATATGTCTGGCACAAAGAGGCACACAAATACTTGTTAAAAGAATGAATGAGATATACAATGGAGATAATTGAAAGGAATATACTAAGGTATCCAAATAGTCATGAGATAATATGCTTTCTTGA